TACCACTCTCGCACGAAGCATATCGACATTCGTTTCCATTTCATTCGCGAGGCCGTTGACAACCATGACGTCATTCTGGAACACCGCCGCACAGAGGACATGCCTGCCGACCTGTTCACGAAAGCTTTACCCCGCGCAAAGCTCCAGCACCTCTCTGAGTTGTTCGGTCTGCATCCGCTTTGAGGGGGCGTGTTGTATTTCCCGGCACCGGTCAAAGCGCACGCGCCCTCCTGACGTCGGTATTTCCCTTTTTGTACTTATTTGTGGTTCCTGTACCTTTTGATTGTTGCAACACACGTCCGATAGTACCTTACGACATTGCTCATATACGCGAGACCTCCCGTCCATCCACCTCACCGTTCGTACCCCGAACGCTGAGGTGAGCCCATTCTCCGTACTATACCGCACGTCCTATTCACTTACATTACGTAGCAATTACATTCGTTTATATTACAGGTCTGCTACGATATTCTACTTACACCGTTCGTACCCCGAACGCTGAGCAATTACATTCGTTTATATTACAGCTCGCCGGGCGGCTCGAAACCTTATAAGTAAAGCATTCGAGGGTCATATACCGCGTCAATGATCTCTTCGCAAAGTTCTGTCGGGAAGCAAGGAGCCATGGTTTGGGCGAATTGGAAGGTGTAAACGGAGATGAGAAGGAGCTCTAAACGCTGAATTCAATCAGAGATGATGGATGCAAGCTACACTGAAGGTCACCTTTCCTATGAAACGCAGTACAACACTATCCATGTACGACACGAATCGTGTCTCACCGAACGCTTACAGTACTCCTAACAAACGTAAGGCCAGACATGTGCTCGGCTGGGTCAGACTCGGGTCGGACCCCTCCTTGACCCAGGTCAGACCCCTTGGGGTCAGACCCTGGGTCAAGCCAAGGCAACATCAACGTCGGAGCTTCCGGGCACGTGAACCGCCGGGTCGGCCGGCCGTTCGCCAGAACTGTTCTTTCCAACTGCCCACTGGCAACGTCTCGGCCATCCATAAGCGAGAGGGTGAAACCAATGGCCTTCAGGAACGCTGCGAGGGACTTGCCATGGTGGAGATGGATGCCGACCCAGAGGAGTACTGTCCGGGAAACCAGCGAGGACTCGGAGAGGTGTAAGGTTTAGCATAGATGCATTATCCGACCTCTACGTCTGTAGGAGCAGTCTGGACGAGCGAATATATACAGACGACATCTATAGTTAGCATATCCCGTCGTCAATGTGGCATATGAGTCCGCCTTGCGCTCAAGCTGCCAGCTGGGCACTTTCCAGGCTCCTACCCACCGTCGTTTCGAGTTGAGGGGGCGATATCCTAGTGGGTGGAGGAAGCCTGCATCCTGATACCATAGTAGGCAGCATGATATCTTGTAGCGCCCATCACGTGCTCATCATGTAACTTTGCAACCCCCTCAACTCTCAACGACGGCTGGCATCAAACACAGGTAAATAAACGGAGCCCGGAGAGAAAGCGCCTGAAACCACCCCCGTTTGGTAAGCACTCCCCCGAGGGCGTCAGGCTTTTTCAGTTAATCTCAATATTGTAGTCTGCGTCGGCGAGATCGATGCTTACCTTATTCAGCACTCATCTTACGACGCTATCGGATCCTCTCTCGCTATGGATCCTGTCCGCGCACAACTCCTGCAGGCTACTCTCACCCAACTCTTTGCTTCTTGTATATCAATATCTGACCTTGTACTCTTTGTGCTAAACCAATACCGTGACCCTGCCCACCCTGTTCTTCGTGACCTTGTCGACAATGCCGCCAGCATCGCGGCTGCTCTATACTACCACTCGGCGACCTCCGATTCGATCTCCAACTGGGCGCACAACATCATGTGTGCCCGCTACTCTCAAGCCGTACAGGACCTGGCCAAGGCAGAACATGGGTGGCACTTCGGTGCAATGCACACTCAACCAGAACAGATCCGGGATTTCAAGATCGAAGACATGGCGCATGGCATGCAGACGGTCGCACCGCAATTGTGGTCCCTGGTGCTCGGTTTGTCAGGTGCGGGCATCACAGCTGGGCCGGAGCACGCTGCGCAGTCCTCGCCGGCCCCCACAGCGGCTCAAGACACTGCCCCTACCCCCGCACTGGAGTCAGACTCAGAGGGAGAGTATTGGGCAGAGGACGAGGGGCTGTTAAGGGATTCATATGGGGCGGATCAGGGCGATAGTCGTGCAGGGAAGACCTCCCGAGCTCCTAGGGAGCCAGAGGCCAGTGGGCGCAGAAAGCAGCGGCGGCGGGTTCAACGGAACACGTTCGCACGGATTGTAAGTTACCCATTCCGAGTATGCTAGACGATCCTGTACAGTTGTTTAATGAGGGAGAATAGAGGACAGTGGTCATTCTGAGTATCTTGATGCAATCGCGCGATCCTCACTGCAATGCCCTCCAAAGCACAATGGGAATCTTCTTGCACTCGTGCAATGCACCCGAGAAGCTCACCAAGGTCCTCTCTCGAATGGGCCTGTCAATCTCGCTGCCGTCCATCCATCGCGCGGTCCGTTCATTATCGCAGCGGAGCTGCCAAGACATCCAGCTTCTAGGCCGCTCACTCCTGACTTCCTATGCTTTCGACAACTTTGATGTGCTCTTGAAGGTTCTCGTTCACACAGTGGATGGGGCACAGGGCGGCCTCGTACATCTTACATCCGGGGCACTTTTCCAACTTCAGCAAGTTGAGCTAGAGGACTTGCGCTGCTCGAAGCTTGTCTGGGAGCGGTCAGAGCTGAATCCCCATGCATCCAATCCCCGTCCATTCGACCCTCGTGCAACTATGGATTTTATCTACCAGCTCCATCCTGAGCCCGACACCAACGAGAGTGAACTCAGCCGCTCTGGTCGCTTCCGTGTTTGGCAATTCATGAACGATTTGTTCGAGCACGGGCCTTTGTACTTCGAGCGCTTCAAAGGTTCCCTTACCGATCCCGAGCCCGTCGATCCCATCCCCATCGCAAAGACCCACTACTTGCCTCTCCGAGCGATGGATATCAATCAGTCCACCGTGGCCGGGAATATCAAGGCCCTCGGTGAGATGTTCAGGCAGGCAGGTGTCGGTGATCCGCACTTGGAAACCAACGGAGAGACTCCCCCAGTCGATATCAGGGAGTACATGACAATTGTCTTTGGCGACCTTGGTACCTACGAACGCATCATGTCAGCCCTCCGCCGAAGATCTGTGGAAAGAACCCCGTACAACCGCCTTCAGTCTGTCGCCTTCGGGATCGGCTATTTCCATGTCAAGATGGCCGCAACGGATACAGTGTGGCGGCTCGTAGTCAACCCCGTGAATGCAAGACAAGATGACACGAGCTTTATGAAGACTGCGGGAGAGCTGCGACCAAATGAGAGCTCACGACTGGTCTCCGGAGCAACATTCCGTCAGCAGCATGAACTGATTGGGCATGTCGGCATTCTCTTACGTTTGGATGCCTGGCGCACAGAGGTCAAGCGACGTAACCCATCCATTAAGTCGCTTGAGGCTTGGGCGGATACGAAACCATCACTGGCGGAGATTAACGATATTGCGGAATGTCTTGTGCGCGATTATGTTGAAGGGGAGGGCTTGGACCTTTTTGCGTTGGCGATGCAGTCAGAACAGGCCAGGGACCAGGTCCGGGAGAATACGATGCGTCTTCATAATTATCTCCTGCTTTACGAGGAGTTGTCGTACGCCATGAACGCAGGAGATATTGGGCGACTGGAGAGCTTGCTTGCGCTGTGGATCCCGCTGTTCCGAGCCGCCGGCAAGCACAAATATGGTAACTATACGCTTCGTTTCATGCACGACTTGTTCAAGATATACCCGGAAGGCCTTCGGTAAGCCTAAGTCGTGTGTATCTGATATTCTGCAGCTAAAGTAGTGAGCATCAAGACAGGCAATTAGGATGAATATACTGGTTAATCCGACAGGAAGACCTCATGAATTCCGCGCTGTCGACTGGGTAATTGAACTATTAAACCTACTGATAAAGGTGAGTCGTCAAGAGCTCCCTGTGCGTGCAAGGCTGAATGCAGAGTAAATAAGGTGATATACGGCGGGGAGGGTTCAAATTACACAAAGGAGCGGATTCTGCTCGAGTCCGTCCTTGTCCGTATCTTTAGAAACAGTCACGCCAACATGGAACAAAACTTTGCACTCTCGGGATTGACTACACGACATGCTAAGAAGAACATGAAGAAGACATTCGACGACATACTCAAGCGTATGGAAGAGAGGGGGCCCAACGAGTATAGGGCAAGGCGGAAGTCGCAGTACGTCATTCCCGACGCCCTTATGAAAGGGGCAGCGATGATCGAGAAGGAGGGAGGTTGGAGAACAAGCGGAGGTGAGGCGACCGGAAGGAGTGAAGGAGATATGGGGGATGGAGATGATGGACCTTTGGGGCTCGACGACCTGGAACCGGAGCTGAGCCTCGAGGACATCAGTGTTGAGACGCCTGTATGATAGTGTGCGAGGAATTGACTTACTGATCCAAAACGCTCTCGCGAGGGAGTGTCCCGCACTCATCCTTCGCGAATTACGCTGCGTCCTCCTTCGGGATATGGACCTCCTCCTTTCCGTCGTTCTCCCTCGCGTCATGAACCTCGCAGAACGCCGTTGTGCACGGCTGCTGGTCCACAGGCATGATCTCCCGACCAAGGAGTGCGTTGACAAAGGTAGGTGTTTCAACTCTGAGGTCCGTTGTCTTCCGGGTGTACGGCGACGGAGAGAACACGGACGTCCAGAAGTCCTCATATCGAGGTCGTAACGGTCGTGAATCCTCAGCAACGCGCGCCGGAGTCGACGGCGTGGCGCAAGCAGAGGCAGACAGGGAGAGGTCGTTCTCCTTGTCTTCTCGGCTACTGTTCTTCGGCTGGTACAGGGGACAAGTGGGGTTATTCCCTGCAATGGGTGTCGGATATGCCAAGGGTTAGTCACCGACGGGATTCCTAGCACGAACAAGCTTACGTTTATGCCCGATCTGTCTACACGCCCCGCACTTACGTAGGCCAGCAACGGCTCGCTTGGAGGCGGACGGAACGATGGGGTCTTGAGTGCTGTTAGATAGCGACCCAGGCTGGGCATCGCGTACCTCTGTCCCTGAGGCTGAGGGCGCAGGGGGAGGCGGGTAAAATCTGGCATGTTTGTAAGTGAGCATCGACTAATTTGAAGCCAATGTGCGTGGGGAGATACAGGGATGGACAACAGCCAGATTTTACACGGACTCAAGGATCTCAGGCAGAGGATGAGAGGACTTACCGATGAACAATCCTCAGCACCTCATCTCCAAGCTCGTGAGCGCGGCTCCACTTGGTCTCTCGCGCTAGCGCCTCGACGGTACCCAGCTTGTGGACGCGAGCGCAGTCGACGACGCGCCTGAGGACCTCGTCGCCCATAATGGCCCCCGGGCCATTGCTGTTCAGCCGACGCTGCCCATAGACCTTAATGGTCTGCTCCCGTCGGAAGGCGTGGAGGGCGGCCTGCAGCTGGACATCTTGAGGGTCCATGGGAGCGCTGGGGACCTTGGAAGCGCGGGCGGAGGATGCGGTCGGCGCGGACGAGGACTGGTTGGAGGGGCTAGGGAGGACAGCAAAGAGAGGATGGGTGGGAGAGCAGAGCGAGCAGCAGACAGGGGATGGCTTGAGAACGCATCGAATGCACCCCTGTGGGTGACAGGGGCGATTATCCGGCTCTATTGTGACAATAATAAACTGTGAGAACACTTTCTGAAAAGACGATAAGTTTGACTTACTGATTCTGTCATTTTCGTAAAAGGCCACAATAGGCTTCCTATAACAAAGAAGCCACGGGCGGAGACCCGCGTTCACCAAGCTGTCAAGCTCGGGCGCCAGAAGGGCTTCTGCGTCTCCGCCACGCGCTGCGGTCCCTCCGTTTTTCCCACTGCGTCCTCCTCCCTCCTGTACTCGTCTTTGCTGCTCGAATTTGACTCTTAGCTCCTCATATACAGTTAGTCTCTGGATCCCCCAAGAACTGACTTCCTCTCCCCCTGTTTCCTGACCTACATCGGCGCTTCGCTCATCAACCTCACCGCCACCGTTGGACGTGCTGGTTGCCTGCTTAGCGCCGGAGGGATGGTCGCGCGCAGCCTCCTATATTACCAGTAAGTTCTTCAAACCTCCCTTGGCAAAGAAAGTCTCAGTACACACCTTATTTCCTGCTGCACCCTCTCGTGCCTGGGGTGGCTGAGTGACTCTTGCTTTCTTGGGCGCCCGATGTGGTGCCGGTGCTGACACCGAGCCATCTCGTTTCCGCTTTGCGGCCTCGCGCTGCATTGCGCGTCGTTCTTCGGCCTCGCGACGCTTTTCTGCGCGCTGACTTGCAAGTTCCTTTTCATCATCAAAGTATTTGGGTTCCACTAATAGCACCGCAATAGCCTCTTTACCAGCTCCTCTTGCAGCTCGACCGAAGCGCTGCCATAGCGCATTCATCGAGCACGTTACCCTCCACTGGACAATAATCTCGATGTCCGCAATGTCAACTCCCTGTGCCATGTAAGTCCAGTATCACCAAATGCACCAATCTACTTGCTCACCATTCCAAACGAGTCTGTACAATATAGCCCGTATAATTTATGGTCGCGGAACTCAGACGTGGTCTCCTCGCGAAATTCAGGGGTGTTGTCGGAGTTGAACCACACCACACGGTCGCAAAAGTCTCTTGTAAGTCGTTTACGCAACCGTTCTGCAGCCTTTATTGACTCCTCGATGTTGTCGAAGAAGATTACAAAGCGTGGGATGCGAATGTCGGAGCGTGCGGGTGTCCAGTCGGCCGGAATCAAGAAGTCGAGATCTTGAAATGACGACGTGGCATATTGGAGCTTGCGGACTGTTAGGTAGACATTCGGGCGGTCATTGGATCGCTGTATTAGGAGGAGATTTTGTTGTCGTGCTTGTAGAATATTGAGGACGTCGGCCTTATCAGGCGGAGGGAGTGTCGCAGAAGGGATGAGGTATGGCGTATTTGGAGGTAGCATGCCGCGCAACCTGCCAGACGTCGCTAGGTCTGGACGGAATTTCCCCCATGTCTTCACGCAATGGGCTTCGTCCCAGATTATGCTGATAATTCGAGAGGTGAAGGAAGGATTCTTCCAGATCCACTCCTGGCATAGACTGTGTCCAAATGCGAGCTCTGGGTTCAATACGACGACTCCGTGCGAAAGGGTGCCCGCAGCCTGATACCCCACCAAGTGAGCTTTCTTGATGTCCGCTGTGGTGAGATGTGCAAACCTTGAAATTCTCCAATGATGCACTCTCCCCACAGATTGCGATGGCGGGAATCTTAAGCCTTGCAAGTTCATATTGGTTCTGTACTCCAAGGAGGTTTAGCGGCGTAATGATAATTTGAATACCATCCGGACGAAAGAGAAGTGGCATCCAAAAGGTCAAGGTCTTGCCAGATCCTGTTCCCGAGATGCACACAATATCTCTATCGCCCTTGAGCAGAGCTCTGGCTACATCGCATTGCCAGAGACATGGTCTGCGACCGAGCTTCTCCAAAGCACGCGCCCTGATCTCCGAGACGTCAGGAATCTGTGACGACATACTCGGGACGGCGGATAAGCCCGAGGACACGAGGCGTTCTGGGAGAGAAGAATTTCTAAAAAAGCCTGACGCCCTCGGGGGAGTGCCTACCAAACGGGGATGGTCTCGGGCGCTTTCTCTCCGAGCTCCGTTTATTTACATGTGTTTGATGCCAGCCGCTGTGGAGAGTTGAGGGGGATACAATGTACACGTGATCTGGCGCTTATGTTACAGGATTCTGTACTCTATCGGATTTCAGCTTGTCCCCCGCCTCTAGGATATCGCCCCCTCAACTCGAAACAGCGGTGGGTAGGAGCCTGGGCACTTTCACCCTTCCGGCGCTCCCGGTAGTACGCGGTCGACTATTCTACGCGAGGCCCGACCATGCATAACGTGTTAACCCCTTGAAAAGGTCAGACCCGGGTCAGACCGCGAGTCAGACCCCGGGGTCAAGCCGAGAGGGTCAAGGGGTCGAGTCTTGACCCGCACACCTCTGCGTAAGGCAGACCACAAGGAAACATAAAGTGCATGAAGCCAACGTGGAATTTTCCAGCTAGAATACAACGTGTTGCAGTTTACTCTGTACATTTGATCGTGACGCTCGTACAAAACATGGTCCATTCACCAAACGACCCCTTCACATGCTAGCCAGATTCAGCCCAAGCTCAGACAGCGCGGAACTTGAAGCGAACGGCCTCGCTCGCGGTCTTCACCTGGAGGGGCTTGACGGTCGGCACGCCGATCGCCTTTGCGATGCGGTCCGCGATCTCCTGGTCGACGGCAGCGAACACGGACACTATAGGGGACGGTCAGCCATACCGGCATCCGAACAGCAGTCAGGGGCACGTACGTTGCCTGGCCTTGACCTCGGCACTCTTCGCGTTTACGAGGTGGACGGCGACGTTGTGCACGAAGTGCTCCCTGTCGGTGTCGCTGAAGACCTTCTGCCAAAGCGCGCGGGGCTGCTCGAAGTCGACTGGAGAGGTCGACAGATATCAGCATGCGCGATACTTAGAGAGGCAGCTGGGTTCTACGTACGCTCAGTGATCTCGCTAAGGTCGGCCTGGGCAGTGCCAAGGAAGACCTCGTGTTCGACGTTCTCGTAGGGCTTCGCCTTGTAGTTGAGCGGCGCGATGGAGCTCTGGTAGTTAGGGCGGGGGCCCTGGTTGTTGAACGCCATGAAACCGTCGCGCTGGAAGTTCGCAACTGGTGCGACGGGCGCGTTGACGGGGAGCTGGCTGTAGTTGACACCAAGACGGTGACTGAGAGATGGCGTCAGTCATAAGCGAAGGCGTAAGATAGCCAGACCGCACGTACCGGTGAGTGTCGGGGTAAGAGAAGAGACGCGACTGGAGGACGGGGTCGGCAGAGGGCTCGATGCCAGGCACGAGGTGCGATGGCGAGAACGCGGCCTGCTCGATTTCGGCGAAGTAGTTGTCGGGAGCCTTGTTGAGCGTGATCTTGCCAATGGGGCGGAGTGGGAACTCCGAGTGTGGCCAAACCTTGGTCAAGTCCAGGATGTTGTAGCGGAACTTCTCAGCCTGTTCGGGGGTCATGGTTTGCTGCGAAAAAAACTTCTCAACACCATAATCGCAAGGCTACGAGATGAAGTGAACACGCACGACGTAGACGGTCCACGTCGGGAACTTGCCCGCCTCGATGTCCTCGAACAACGCCTGGATACCAAAGTCGGGGTTCTCCCCCGCGAGCTTTCCGGCTGTCTCGTTGTCAAACGTCTTGAAACCACCGTCCTTGCGGACGTGGACTTGGACGTAGTGGAACTTGCCCTCGGCGTTGACGAACTTGAGGGTGTGGCCTGAGTAACCGTGCATGTTGTGGTAGCCAACGGGCGTCCCACGGTCGGAGAACAGGATCATGACCTGGTGGATCGACTCCGGGTTTTGAGAGAGATAGTCCTATTGTCGCGCGTAGTTTGTACACGATGGCGGTTTCGAGAATATGGCGGAGACTCACCCAGAACATGTCAGCATCCTTGAGGTGCGTCTGCGGGTCACGCTTCTGGGTGTGGATGAAGTGCGGGAACTTGGCCGGATCACGGATGAAGAAGACGGGGGTGTTGTTGAACACCCAGTCGAGGTTGCCCTCCTCCGTCTTGATTTTGATCGCGAAACCTGCGAGACGAGCCAAGACCGATCAATCGAACTCAATGTGGTATGGAAGAAGCTGTACAGACCACGGGGATCACGCGCGGTGTCCGCAGAGCCCGACTCGCCACCGACGGTCGAGAAACGTATGGTGAGCGGCGCCTTCTTGCCGACGCTGCTGAAGAGCGCGGCAGACGTCAAGTCCGTGATGTCGTGCGTGACCTCGAAGACACCATGGGCACCGGCACCCTTGGCGTGGACAACACGCTCTGTACGGTGAGATCACGCCCGATCAACATCGAGGTAAGCGGTAGACAGGCACGATAGCACACACCAGGGATACGCTCGCGATCGAAGTGGGCGAGGAGATCGATGTGGTGGAAGTCTAAGAAAGAAAAGGGAGGTCATTCAATATCGCTTGTGAGCGATGCCCATACCCCACACCCCACACCCCGCGCTGGACCGCCGCCAAGCTCAAGGCAGTAATGCGGATCAGGGCGGGCAAAGGTAGCAAGGGACATACCTTGCAGCAACAGAGGACCGATCTTGCCGATGCGCTCAGCAGCGTACGGCCGCGCGACGGGCGCACCCGTCGACGTCGTGTAGAGGGCACCGTCCTTGTTGTTGAACACTTGCGCAGATGGCATTGCGGTTTGGGGTCAAAGTGGATGGTTGGGATGTGGGAGGATGAGGGCTGGGAACAGCTCGTAGAGATTCTCCACAAACGGGTCGCATCCTATTTGTAGGCTGGGGAGGCCCGCGGAAAGTCTCGGTCCATTGTGAGACTCCAACAGACGCGTCCCTATGGAGTGGAGAACCCGATGTCAGCAGGGCCCGGGATCTAACCCCACGCTCTATGTGAAGGCTTTGGCGGCCGCGTTGAGTAAGAATCGCAGCGAATCCGTGACTTGGAGCACGCACGTGACATGAATAAGCAACCTCTGATAGGTTAGCAGTTTGTAAAGAGCTCACCCGAAGATTCGGCATCCCGATGGACGATCTCTCGCGTCTGCTGCGCCAAAATAACCTTGTGATGCACCACCGCGGGCGAGTCCGGCTGAAGCCTGGTACGTTGCCTATGACCGCATTCTCCACATCACCCTTGGCCTGACAGTTGACCCAGACGTCTGAATCCTCGAGAGAGGTCTGTAAAGGTGGTCGACGAGTAGATATTTCGGGAGGATGAGCTGACGAAACGTGGCTACCTTCCTCCGTCTTCACACGTCTCTTGTGGGAACGCTCCAGTCAGGAAGTGGCACTTCCGGCGGTTATCGAACATCCCTATGGCATTTCTAGGATGGCAGAAGGGCGCAACCCTGATATCGAAGGGAGGATCCGGAAGGCCAGACATGGCGGGGCGCGTTCTTGGGCCCCGTGGTCTGCCCATCTGACAACAGCGATGCAGCACCTCAAACGTTCAGGGCCTTCTGCAGGTCACGTTTGACTGGTCATGAATCGCGCCAAGTCACGAGATGGCTCTGCTCAACCACGCGATTGAAAATAGGGGGGATGCACCAGTGCGCCTTAATTCACCCTCGCTTGACCCGAGAGTAGTCCGTCACCCACGCGGACCAGGTCTTTCGATAGCTTTTGGGCCTTGGCTAAGGAGGACTTCTCTTTTGCTGATCCTCGAGGCAAGTAGCCTTGACTGAATAGAGTCGCAGGGTGAACTGTTGGCCCGACAGTAGGTGGGAAGATGACGCGGAACATCCTCCTACGAAGGGCGATAGCGACTCGATAGCAACTAAATGCGTCCCTTCAACACTGAATGCGCTAGAACCCGAACCTGGGTCCGTATCCATGACCAATCCACGTACGCAGATGTCTCCAGATTATGAGAACTCACTGAATGATGAAGACGCATAGCTTCCGTATTCCCACATGCCCACTGATGACGGGAGAAGGCTGAAGTCGCAACGCGAATTACAACTCCAGCCCGATGAGAACGCAGAACAACTCAGGTACTACGACTGTCGCACCCACCGGAATCAGGCTATGACACTTGTTACGGTTACGCCATGTCGAGACGCTTTGCTTGCCAGACGGACAACGACATAGGCCACATGGACTAGCGACACTTTGGCCTAAGAAGCTACGGCGGATCAGCTGTAACGGCACAGAACAAGACAGCATGAGAACCGTGGAGGGGACGAGACCTCCGTATATCTGTTGTTGACAGTAATATTCGGATCCTTTGACGCGCATTACGCACACTATTCCGTGACGCTCCTCCGTTCCCGTTCCCGTCAGGCAGCACAAGCGCGGCATTTGGAGAACGATCCAGAATACTGTAAAGAATTACAACACACAACGAGAGGCTAGCGATACGACCTTGTGGATATGTTCTGCAACGAACGTGCAGCCGTCGCACATGCTATACCTACCACGCCACAGCCGCGGTTGACCGTGAGTAAGCCCTTGTCCAAGACCGCTACAGAATGTACTCACCCCACATCGCCTGTTGAGGTGCTTACTCGGCAGCGAGCTCGAGCTTCATCTTCGCGATGGCAGCGGCGGGGTTCAGGCCCTTGGGACACGTGCGCGCGCAATTGAAGATCGTGTGGCAACGGTAGAGACTGAGCTCGTTCTGCATTTTCTCCTTACGGTGCGCCTTGTAGGTGTCCTGTATGCGCGTGTCGCATTAGGCCCGCCAAAGCCCCACAACGAGCGCGGGACGAAGAAGCGACGTACCCGGGAATCCGCCATCCAACGGTAAGCAGCCATGAGGGTCGCCGGACCAAGGTATTCATCCTGGTTCCACCAGTAGCTGGGACAGGAGGTCGAGCAGCACGCACACAAGATGCACTCGTACATGCTATCCAAAGAGCGTCGGCATGAGCGCACACATAGTCGCGAGATATATGGAAGGATAGCGATGGCGTAGAGTTCCGACGCGCATATATGCACCATGGATGGAGGGTAGTTAAGAAAGGAGAACGCACCCGTCAAGCTTCCTCCTGTCTTCTTGCGACTGCAAGAACTCCCGGTCCGCTGGTGGGTTGTCGTTCTGGAGGTAGGGCTCGATCGACTTGTACTGCTTGTAGAATTGAGTGAGGTCGGGGACAAGGTCCTTGACGATGTACACTGTAGGTAGACGTTCGGTCAGCGCTCTGCACGGGCATCCTCCGTAAACGCGTGAACGCACTGTGGGGGAGGGGGTAGATCTTGGTGTCCTTGCCGGTGTTCCTGTCGATCCTGCAGAGGCACGCCAGCGTGTTCTGGCCGTTGATGTTCATGGCGCACGACCCGCAGATACCCTCGCGGCATGACCGACGGAAGGTGAGCGTAGGATCAATCTCGTTCTTAATCTTGATGAGCGCATCCAGCACCTGCACATGGGTACACGTGAGGAAGGTTCACGAGAGACGGGGGGGTAGAGCGGACTGACCATAGGCCCGCACTGGTTCAGGTCGATGGTGTACGTCTGCAATGTCGGCTTCTGCGACGGCTCATCGGGGTTCTGCAATGGTAAAATCCGGTCAGGTTTCCATTACGCGGGGTACCATATAGGCCAGACGAGAAGTGCCATGACATACCCAGCGATAGATCTTGAACTCCTTGTTCAAGACAGGCTTCTGGAGCGGTGCAGCCTGTGCGCGCGCTGCGGAGGACGCAAACCCGCGGAGAGACTGCTTGAGAACACTGGAACGAGCCGCGACGAGGGACTGCATGGTGGTCGGTGAGGTCGTTGAGAGCGAAGGAGAGGAGGCGGAGGACGACGGGGACGGTGCACTTGATTGTGACCTCAGTCCTCTCCGGCAGGCGCCAGCAGCATCCCCGGGTTCTTCGGCCGCATTCCTCCGATCCAATCACGCGCCGCCAATTTCCGCCCGGAGACCGTCTGGACTCGTCGTCGATCGTCTGCGCGGCCCTCCACATCGACGAGGGACCCTAGAGACAGCTGCGTGAAATCTCCCAGCTTGCACAACTGCGACTAAGAGTGAGGAGGGTTGTATATGCGCTAAACAGGCTTGGCTGTCCTGTGCGCTGATCATCCGCAGTCTCACCGGGCGGAAGGTTTTTTTGCCAAGGGGTGAAGGGAGGATGATGTACCAGGAGATATTATATTCATACAATAAAGGTATTGTACCATAGTTCATGCGCTCAGTATAAGGAAAACATGCGCTGCAGATATCCATACCGTGCAAAAACGAAAAAAAGAAAGAGCACAGCTAGTCTAAAGGCGAGCCAGTACAGGGGAATATACACATGATGTAGCCATACCACACATCATACCGCATGGGAGGCGTAAGGAGCGTGCAAGAGAGGAGAGAAGACAAATCGTGGCGTAACTCGGCGTGCATGAGTGCAAGATGGAAAAAAGCGGGGGCGCGTGTGTCATGTCCGTTGTCCGTCAGTGTAGAGGCGAAGTGCCATGAGCACACGGATTCGCAGAGAGTCGGCAGGAAGGAGGGGGGAGCTAGAAGGATAGAATGTGGTTGGGACTGCGTTGCCGTCACCGCTTGCGCTTGCCGTGCACACCGGTGTCGCCCACAACCCCGCTACCATCGCTCGCCCCACTTTCTCCTTCCGCGTCGCCCTCCGAAGATCCGCCAGGGCTCGCGCGAGCAGGCCCGGGTACGGGCGAACCCGAGTTCTCCCTTACGTCCATGCGATCGCCATCCCCGTAGATTTGCTCCACTGCCAGCACGGATTGGCTCTCGGGTAGTGGTGGTAGCGCTATCACGTCTTCCATCTCCGCGTCCACGTCCTCGGCCATGTCGTCTCCCCGCAAGTGACCACCATTAGGCATAGCGGGCGCTGCGCGACGAGCGCGAAGCGATGACCCAAGGCGGCTGGCACCAGTATCAAGCTCCACTTCCGTCTCCGCACCTACATCTCGGTCCCGTTCTCGCTCCCGGCTGCTGCCGTCTCCTGTGTTGGGCCGGTCGCCAACGGCAGTGACTGCGATACCAACGATCGATGCTGCGCCGTCGACCATCGACTTGGAGTCTAGCTCGGGATCTATTTCTACCTCAACGTCTTCCTCAAGATCGGCAAATGTCCGGCAAAGGGGGCAGGAGAAGGCAGGATGGTGCGCCTCGAGGAGAGGTCGGATGCACTTGTAGTGGAACGCGTGTGAGCACGGAGCAATGAAGAGCGCTTGATGGATCGTGACACTAAACAAGCCTGCAATACACGAATGGAGTCAATAAAGCAGATCGGACTGAACCATGTTCAACACGCACATATGCAGCAATCAGGGAGAGTAGATTTAACGGCAACCTTTTTGCCGGTGTTTGTCGCAGGGGCTTGAGGGATTGCGATCGATTTGAGCTGCTTTAGCGCATTTGCGCTGGCGACGATGTGAGCGACGTCGAGGATCGTCGAAAGCGTCAATGGCGAAGATAGACTCACTTGAATGGATTGCTGTGATTCTGCCACTCTCTGCCCACCTCGATCTTGATCTTCACGCATTTGTAGATGTCCTCGGTCCCGCCTTGATAATCCACCCCAAGCTGCAGCAGATCGCCATCCTTGAGCTCATGCGGCCGGGACTCGTTGTTCGCTGGCGAGAGACGGACGTGGTTCAGGAACGTGCCACTGCTCGACTTGGTGTCCCGAATGAAGAATTTGCCCCCAGTTTCACACCAGATCTCCGCGTGCGCCCGCGAAACAACCTTGCTCTTGAAGGCGAGCTTATTCTGCGACGTTGCGTTTGCCGCAGCAATCCCTATCCCCGAACGGTCTGTAAAACGCCCTATGCGCAGAGGGGGGTCGCCCTCCCTGACATCGCGCGATATGGGGTCGAAACGGAGCGACCGGCGCGAATCGAGATGAGGAACGAGGCGAATGCGGTGACTCGGCCCTGTGCCGGCGTGCAATGCGGAGGACGAGCCTGAAGCGGCGGGACCAGTGACGGTGCGCGCGACCGCGACGGCAGGGATCTGGGAAGTGTTGGTGGCAGCAAGGGTGCCTGCTGAACGTCGCCTGCGGAGCATCTGAGAAAAGCCGGGTGTTGAGTTGGACTGGGACACTGATGGCTGGAGGTTAGACGAGGCTGCAGCTGGACGACGACGATGACCTGAAGAGTGGTCGGCACCTGGGGCAATGGGGGGAGGCGAGTCTCTGGTGGCGGGATCGTGGTGGGGTGGAGAGGGGTGTGACTGTGAGGTTCCGCGGGGTCTACCGCGCAAAAAAGAGCCCAGAATGGACTGGCGGGCAGAGGGTGAGGCGTCACCTAGGGTTATTGGGTCCATCGATGGGAGAGAAGCGTCTGCGTCGTCGTTGTGAACGGCGTTGTGGTCGTCGTTGGAAGAGGTTGAGCTGGACGTCGATCGAGGCCAAGCTCCGACCCTGGCTGTTTGACGCCGTTAGCCGCTTTAAGCCTACCGCCCCCCCTTGCTCTCCCTACTTGTCTTCCACCCACTAATTTATGCCACCCGGTCCTGTAACCATCTCTCGAGACACACTCTGAAACTGCCGATCCATGCAAGTGTTCTGTAAACAGCTCGCAATCGATATGCAGTGGGCCCCATCTTATCGTGCAGACACCCGAACCAGTAGCTGACACTTATGCCTCAGTCATTGTGATGACAATCGTTTGACACAATCGGAGTTGTATACGGTGGCCCTGCAGTGGACCGGTTTGACCAAACTGTCGCGTTCCAAGGATGCGACTTGCAACACTGTATGTTCTCTATGTCAAATTGCCCGACACCGAGTTGGTGTCACTGTAGTTTGTCGTAATTCACGCCTAGGTCTCCAGACAATCACAATCGCCCGATACATAACCAACCGTTCATAACACATCTTCACTGCCAACTGATGCCGGTGCCAAGATCCAGTCAGCACAAAGGATGGAAGCCTCTTTCTCAGCGTGCCGTCCTACACCTGCTGACCTCTGTGCGCATGGGCGCGCACCGGCACCAATCAGGGTGGGCGCCGCGATGACACGACTGGGAATGCCGCAGTGCTCGGAGCAGCTCGCCTTTCAATCCCGCAACGTGTGGAATACACGCCTACTATCCATTTTGGGCTACAGAGGATCCAAGTACTAGTCTGTCAAACCATGTATAGGCCAGACTTCCCTCAACTGTTGTAATTGGCGTCGTCTCCCCCTTAGCCAGGCCGGCTTCACGCCTTCGCAGCCCCAGCTAGCCATCACCTTGTACTCCATGGCATCAAGAGTCGGTCCACACTTGCGTCAAACGCGCGAGGCAAGTATGCTCCACTTGGCGATTGAAGTCAAAGTATGTGGGTCGCAGTGTCTGTAGCTGTGCACGTCCGGAGCCAGCGAATTTCCGGTCTCGACGTACGTCTGGGAGGCTAGACGTAGGGTGCGGGGTTGATAGCTGAGCTGTGCGTCAGGTCATTCCAGATACTCGTGCACTTTCCCAGCCTTACGGGGCAGCGTTGATTCCGATCCGGTGTTTTATTGAGATGCCTTTGTTCACAACACGCACGATAAATTGATGCGCACGCCGCGATGATCCCGATACACATGTATATAGTCTACAAGTACAAGACCGCAACAGCAAGTCAGATAGTAGGGACCCTTTTGAACCTGTACGCATCGCGTCAGGCTTCCATGCACGATCGTCCGCGCCTCACGGCCCGCCGGCAAGTGCGAGGATCTTGGCTGCGGCCTGCTCTGCTGCAGACATGAGCTGACCATGGGGGTTACCGATTGGTAACGCTGGGATGATCGAGGCGTCGACGACGAACTGCGAGCTCGTCAGCGGCGTGGAACGCCTAGGGAGAAGGTTTGATGCTCACCAAATTATTCGTATTGAACACCTTTGCGTTCTGGTCCACGACGGCGTTGGATGCGCTAGTGCCAATCTTGGCGGATCCTACCCAATGGTTTGAGCACATGGTGCTCTGACATGCAGAATGAACATGTCGCAGTCAGCAAGACGATATGTAGCCGTTTCATGAGAGGGACTAACCGGATCATACGCATCGACGTATTGCTCAAGTGTCATGGTGGGGTCGGGGGTGATGAGAGTCAAATTCGGAACTGTAAGAGGCATCAGTGTGCGCTCCGGGTTGTCGGATCTGCTTGTGCTCACTTGACTTGATGTTGTCGGCGACGTCATGCAGGGCTTGCAGCAAGATAGTCTTGTCTTCGGTGTCGGTCAACCACGGATTCGTGATAGCCTGGGCGTTCAGCCCCGAAGTGATACCGACGCGACCGCGGGATTGGATGCCTTGTGAGCTGAAGGTAGAAGGTATAAGACCTTGATTACCCAATTACGAAGAGTTCTCACTTACAGGTACACGGTGATCGTGAAGATCTGACTGGCATTGTACGGAAGGGAGGTGTTGACGGAAGCCGCACCGGGACGGACAGTTCCCTGTGCGTAACGGGTGAACCCGTCGTTTCCGCCGTATGCCCGCCAAAAGTTCAGCCTAGAGGAATACTGTTCAAATTCATGAAAGGTCAAATAGGGGGCAGAGACGCACTTCGGCGAAGCACCCGCGAAGACACCCGAGCGACTTGTGAGGTACTGCTGAGCGTCCGCAGGACGAGGGTCACTCCAGACATCAGCCCAATTCTCGTATGCATCAATGCTGGGGTGCGTAAACACCAGCTAGAGCGCATATATTAGCTCACCCCTTACCATGAAGCGTCAACAAGAGCACTCACGTTGATGGATGGATTGTCAGACACGCCCTGGCCAACAGGGAGGTTGATCCAATCGCTCTGTGCCGGGAGATTTGCGCCAGCGGTTGGGTTCGCTTGCACTGCCTGGATCATGTCCGTCGGCCCGATACCGCTCTGGAACAAGATACGGGGAGTACCAAACGATCCTGCAGAGAGTATCACGCGGCCATTGGGATTCAGCGGGACGATACCGTTAGGTCCGAGCGAGGTGTCGTTTGTGCGCACACCGGTGATGGTCGCACCGTTGCGGACAACTTGACTGACGAGCACGTAATCTTTGTACGTGAAGTTCGGGCGCGCCTTCGCGGTCTGGAAGTACGTCGCGACGGGACCTGCACGCTCGCCGTTGATAAAGTCGAATGCACTGTAACCGTATACGTGGTCCTTGGAGTTCGGGTTGTCGTTGATGGTGATGTTGGAGTAGCCTTGTTTGCTAAGCAGCTGAACAACGACGTTTGCTGACTCTTCCAGGTAACGCTTGCCATCCGTGGAGGGGTGGTCGGTGCTAGGAAGACGCTGCTGCAGCTTGCTGGTGTAAGGTTGGTGGTTTGCCCAGCTCTGCGGCCAGCCGTTCTCCGTCGAGAAATCTGAGTCGGCTGGGTACCAGTACAGGCTGGACAGAACACAATGTAAACAATCATTCAGCGATGCCTCCAGAACGGCTACTCACGCTCCGTTAACAGACGTACCGCCGCCAAGGAGACATCCAGCGAAGAAGGTTATATCTAGAACATGGGTCAGGGATAGCTAATCAGTATAGGCGGCTGCCAACGCTCACCCTTGCACCACCACCAGTCGTTAGGGTCTGTAAACAAGCTTTCGAACAACCCAGGTACATCGAATTTGGTAAGCTGCACAACTGCGTCAGGACACAACCAACGAAGACTCCCCATGAGAGTGTACCCACGTTAGCGGATTGAGTCCAAGGAGCGTCGTAGGTGCCGCCCGTCTCCGCGGTGGAAGGTCCGCCGCGCTCCAGCAGAAGTACCTTCTTTCCAGCTTCCGAGAGACGATCCGCGGCAATTATCCCTCCGGGACCAGCGCCGACAATGATGTAGTCGTACGGTGTAGCCTAAAGGCCAAATCAGCATTCCGGTCTGAAAGTGCTGCGCGTATACGTACAGACGCAGTAGGTCCCGTCGTAGTCGTCGAAGTGCTGGTAGTGGTCGTGGTTGTGGAACTCGGAGGTGTTCCAGGATTGCCTTGCAGGTAGTTCTGATAATTCGAGTTCTGAGCATCGGGGAAGTTTATACCGAAGAAACCGACTAAAACAAGGAGTCAGCTTAGCTATTCTACGCGACGAAATGAGGAATCTGAGTGTCGTACAGTCAGTGTGCTCCTGGAAGGTGCTCTCTGGGTCGGAGGGGTCGTCCACCCCAACACTCGAATACGCCCAAGCGAAGACGCCAGTCCCGGTAGGGTCAATGCCTCCTCCACCTTGCCAGCCTAGAGCAGGTGAGATCAGCGCAGTTGCGATGGGGGTCTAGTGGGACGGACGTACTCGTGCAGTTCTGGCAACGGTAGACGTACTTCCAGTGTGTCGAGTTAACGAGACTCGAAGGAAGCGTCGTAAGAGTGGGACCATCGTACTCCCTGTACGAAAGTCAGGATACAAGCCTCGCACGCACAACCAGCTTCAGAACTTACGTTGGTTGTATATAATCGCTATGTTAGCAAGCAACGATTGTCAGTCCCTACAGTTTCCGCGTACAAGAAACCACTCACGTCGCCCAGCGAGTCGAAGCCACGATGTCATTGCCATTAGGCCATGCCACAAGGAGCAAGTCGCCGATCATGGCGCCCCCAAAAGCCACACCGACCCATTTCGCGGCGATAGGGGCCACAATCTCTCCGATGAACTCCGTGCTGGTGTTCGCCTGGGGAAGCACGATACCATAGGTCACGCCGTAGGTCGGGTCGGTGATACCGTCGAAGACGAAGCCATTGCCCGAATCGGTGTACGGGGCGGCGACCTGCGCGAACGCTATGAACGCAGTGTCAGCATTAGGGCCATGTGTTGAACCGATTAAAACCCCGTACCGGTGCCGACAAATGGCAGAAGGGAGAAGAGCAAGCGCTTGGACTTCATGTTGGGTGGTCGCAACGCCGCGCTCGCAGAGTTTCTGCTCCTCCTTATAACACGCGTCGCGCTCGTAGAGTGCACCTATATTCCGCGAAACCCCCGAACATTGTGTACGCATAGGAAGGCTTCATTCATCCGCCAAATGTCCCGTGGGCTATACATGGGCATCGTGCTCTGTTCCTGTGTACGTGAGTCGATGAGTTGGCACAGGCGACCTAGCGACATCATGGTCGCAATGAGCGACAGCGCAGGAAACGGCAGGAACTCGGATGTGCACCACAGCTCGTGACCGAGGCGTACGTATGTGATATAGGCTGAGCGATGGCGAAACCCCGAGATTTATCAGGGAGGTTGCGCTGCAGAGCTGTCGTAGCGTTTATAACACAGATAACGCAACTATCCTGATTAAAGTTTCCGTCATTAGTGACTTGGACGGATGCCGGCCAATGAGATCCGTGCGCTTTGCCAACCGAGGATGCGCCGATCATCTGCCCGCGCGCGTCTGTCCTCTGAGACCACGGTACCCGTCATCGGAGCGGAAGCAAGAAGGCTAGAAGCAAGACTGTTAGCAATGCAGTTGATACTGTAGAGTTCCTGAAAGCTAAGACGGGGGCATGACGGTCCCGCACCCCACCCCCACAAATCCTCGGACACCGGCCCCGTCAACAACTTCATACGAAGACACCCGATCGATATTACCAGCCACGACAGCGCATACGCAGAGCATGGTGAGACATACGGACCTTATATCTACCCGGTCAGATGCGGGGTCGCGATGCTACCACCCTCCAGGAGGACCAACGGACAAGAGTCTGATGAGGTGCAAGATTTGGACAGTTACGGCATTCCTACCACCTTACAGGTGAGCAACTGACAAGGCTTCGCAAGCGGCTATCTAGCTGCGGCCTCTGGCTGGCGAAAGAAGCGTAGATTAGCACGCGGAGGCATTGTACTATTTGCGAGCCAGGTAAAAGTTCGCTGGTACGCAGTCGGCTCGGTAACATGTGAGGCCCCAGAAACCTATAATTGCATCATGAAGCCAGCTATTCTGAGGCAGGATCGTCTGGAAAACAACTATGTCGGTAGGTGAATACTGCAGTATGGTGGGGTGGACAGCGTCAACTCAAAGAAACTGACCTTCACAACATCCCATGTCCTATAGTGGTCGTCTTGACTGAAAGTAGCAATAGGGCTTCCTGATGCACGTCCGGTCGTCATAGACAGCGTGGTAGGTTCACGCGTGCCTGCAGCGACGAGGTAGGGCAGTAGACCGGGCTTGACCATGGTGTCTGAAAGTTTCGCCGGGAACGGGTGCTTGGCAACAGCTTCAGTTCCTAACAGCCCTAAATAAACGTCAACATCCGCCCGGACTCGGGGCATGTCAAGATTTCCGCAAATCCCGCCGTACAGATGCGCTCTCTCTGACGTTTTCTACATAACGGACGGCTGCACGGCTGCAGTGCCGATATATTCGCACGCAAGCGTTATACATATGTTGTTACTGTCGGAGGCTTTTGTTCTAAGCGGACATCTGCCTGTTACTGGGACAACTGCCAGCCGTGATCACCATCATCTCACGGCTCGCCTGCTAGCTTACACTCGGACATGTTCATTTCCACGTCAGCCCTCCTACGCAGACTTGAAGCTGCTAGTGTGGATCTTCAATGTCGTTACTTTGCGTATGTCTATCGCAAATATCTTGTCACTCTCTGGACGTCTATCACCTCGCGGACTGAAGGTAGTGATAATGACAGTTTTTGTCTTATTCCATCATGCAGCGGCTTGCAGCCAGTACTTAACCGCGGCAGGCGTAATCTCGACGCCAGTTCGATCGAAGCAGGGGCAGGGTAAGCACTACGCGCCCCCATAGTTCATCGAATATATGGGCATAAGCGAGTACGTCGCGTAGACAGACAAATCGGCTGCGAGTAGGAATAAGTTGTCTTCTATACCCACACCACCAGGATAGTCATTGTCCTCCTCGTCGAACGAAACCCGAGGACGGTGACAGTAGTGAGCGCTCGGGGTCGGGCAGGCGTCTACACCGTATCCAGCAGCGAGCTCACGACTCTGCGCGTTCTCTTCTCCGCTGTTCTGCCTGGCTGGCGTCCATCCCGCAACACGCTCCCGCCTGTGGACCGTCTTGTTCCCCTCTGCACGCCCTCAAGCTCCCAGAGCATCCCCGAACGTGTCCTTCCTTTCGGTTTCCTTTCTCCGTTTCCGGTCTTTATTCTGTGAGTCGTAATCCGACTCCGATTCCTCAACATCGTACCCGTCCAACGACCGCTCAGTCGCGGGGCCTCCGTCGCTGTTCTTCATCCTCGCCTGAGCAGCAGGAGCACTCGTTATCCCACTTCCTTCTTTTCTCTTGGCCTCGAGCTTCCTGGTCTTCCCCTCCCCTCTTCCTCTTCCTTCTCCCTGCCTGCGCTTCTGTCACATGTCTGCGTCCGCCTCGGCAAGCTCTCCAACATCTGCAGCCGGCCCCAGCACATTGAGAGCGAACGGCGAGAATGGTGCTGAGCAGAACAAGTACGTGTCTTCGGTTCGATCACGACCGAGATAGACCCGGCTATTGACCCTCCCTTTGCAGCGTCGTTATCAAAGTTGGCATGCTCGGAGACTCGCAGATCGGGAAGACGAGTCTGATGGTGAAATATGTTGAGGGTCACTTCGATGAGGACTACATCCAGACGCTAGGTTCGTTTCGGTCGACCTTTGGCAGATTCAAACTCTCGCTCATCTAGCGTCTCCCACCCAATATTCTCGCTTGATTACTACGCGGTTCCCATACTGCATCCTGCCTTCGGATCGCTCGATAACATATACGATCTTTCAATGCGTCGTTACTTGACTCGTCTCGCGTCAACCGCCCTCGGCATGCTCCCTTCTCCCCCCCGCGGCGAATGCATCTCGGACCCGGTGTCCAGGCGTCAACTTCATGGAGAAGACCATCTCAGTGAGGCGCACATCCATCACCTTCTCGCTGTGGGATCTGGGCGGGCAGCGGGAATTCGTGAACATGTTGCCACTGGTGTGCAACGATGCGGTGGCGATCCTCTTCATGTTTGACCTCTCAAGAAAGTCAACGTTGAATTCGGTGAAGGAGTGGTATCGACAAGCTAGGGGGTTCAACAAGGTCAGTATTCCATAACTGCCTGCCTGCTGCCGACCCCCTCCCCTATCCCAAGGGTGGAATAGACATCGCATGTCATGTCACGTCGTTCAAGTCCAAGCGGTACCCTCGTTCTAGCAAGCTGAGGATCGCGTTTGCTTGGTGCTGGGAAGGATCCGCTGCCTTCATAAAGAGATTGAGTGCCTGTCCCGCTCGCACACGACACATTCCACTTCCCCGAGCAACTCAGTTTCGGGCTCCATTTGTTGCGCGACTGGCCTGCATCTACAGAATGACATGTGCGCTGGGGTCCCGAGTGCTGACTGATTTCTTGAAATCGCAGACTGCAATCCCCTTCCTGATTGGTACCAAATTCGACACGTTCTCGACATTCCCGAGAGATGAGCAAGAGGAGATCACCAAGCAGGTGCATACTTTGTGTTGCGTTGTTGTCCGTCCACGGTCTGACCCTAGGAACCCAGGCGAAGCGATTTGCCAAGGCGATGCATGCCTCACTCATCTTCTGCTCAACCTCCGCATCGATCAACGTGCAGAAGATATTCAAGATTGTGCTGGCGAAAGCGTTCGACCTTAAATGCGTTATCCCGGAGATCGACGGCGTTGGCGAGCCGATATTGATGTACGTTGACGTATAGTGCACGGAGGGACGACGACGAAAGCTAGAGCATTAGGTCTGGAATGGGATTCAGCGGGAAGCGCAAAAGAATCAGGTACGCACCTTGACTATGCAGACGACGGCACAGATACGTCATGCGTGGACGAGCACATGTCTGACTCCTCCGATGGTCGATTAGCCTACCACCACCATGGTGCAAAGGCACCGGCCTCGACTGGCGATCTCTCAAGGAGACCAACGCCATATGGGCAACAAGTGCCCTAAGGATTAATGAAGAAATGGACTATACGGCATACCACCTGTCTGCTTCCTGAAGCTAGTTTATTCCCTCATCCGATACTTTCCCTTTCCTCTCGCATCCCTCCACGGCTCTCGAGCTTCTGCTCGTCGTTACCCCTCGGCATTCCCTTCTCTCTCCTTCCCTCCCACCCTCCATCCGTGGTCTCTTCCCCGTCCGTCCTCGTCCTCAATATCACGTCCTAGTACCCTCGCGCTCGTACACTGTTGTCGTTTTGTCCGTTTGCTGCATTTTCTATGTCACCGCTTACCGCGCTCGCTCGTCTGCACTATATAATCCGCCGTCTAACCGTAACACACACTCTCGTCGCAAATTCATGCTTGCCAGAACGCCGCACCCACATTCGTCATCGCCAACATTCCTACCCGTCCGCCTCCCATACTACCATCCCACCCTCGCTGCTTGTTGGTTTTGGACTTCTACTTAAGATGACCACCCTTAATCCTCGCTCAGGCCTCGTATGACTTTTCACCGGTATTCACTCGACCGTGACCCGTGTTGTGTAAATACTCGCACTCGTTACCCCCATGCCTTCCATAATCCTCCGAACAAGTACTCCCAGGAATGTGAGCATCGCATATAGTCGTGCGCCACGCCAGATAGTGGTCGGTGAGGTTTTTGTGCAGGCATGGCTCCACGCCCGCATGAGACTTTCCCAGCTGCACTCAAGGGATATTGCAGGTTCAGATGAAGGTTCAGAGCGATGTCAACACGCGAGCGCCACGATTTGTGATGCGCCCCTCTTTCCTATTGACCATCATCAGGCTGGATTGCTGAGCCTTGCTTGGCATGCGCAATGCTAATGTGCTGCACATTGATTCGCAGTCAGGTATCAATATTCAAACGTCCTACGGTTGTGAATCACTTTCGTCCTGATATGGTGCGTACTCAGCCTCGGACACCCTCTGGATTATTTGGGTTGACTATACGCTTTTTCAAAGCTTTTATGCTCGTAATTCCGGCAGGGTCGGCCTCAGCTCGCCCACCATATGCATGTATATGCATGCAACTGTGTACATTTAGCATCAATTTCTTCCGCTAGCTACGCGCAGCGCATGACGTCCGCTGATCCGTCTGTGGTGCCCAACGGATCCGGAGATCAAGTCGACCATGCAGTCCGCCTGCCAGACTTTGGGCGGGAAATAAGGTTGCGTCACCGCTACGTTCATGGCCGCTTGCTCTCTGTCTCACACCCGACATCACCGCGCCGTCTGTGATTGTGGACGACGCGCACGGATGCAAAGCGCGGGACGTGTGGCCGGGTTCCGACCTTCTGCGTATCTTATCGTCATGTGGTGGCCTCTGGCCCGGCGACTTCCTTGTTCAGTCCACCTCAAGTCACTAGCGGACCTTCTCACCCTCCCTCGACCACGCTAGATTGGCGTATGGTGGACAACTCAATGTTTCTAAGACATGGCTCGACAGATGTCTATATCGATAGCAAATTAGCGCAGTGGCTGGTTTTGGGCATTTCTGCCTGCCCGCCAGCCCTATGCCAATTTTGATGCTAACATGGCGGGACCATGTGGTCTCGATATCAGTTGACCATGCTGGTAAGCTTATGACCCTCTCGTTGTTCTCGAGGCACATACGCTAACGATTCTACGAACCCAATCATTGCTGAAAGAGGTTGCTATCCCCCGCCAAATGGGTCTGCCGCCGACCGGTCGTGCGCCATGAGACCTCCCACAGTAACGACGCCAACCCACATGGACTGTTATGTGCCACCGTCGCACTGTAACGTGCTATGAGGATTATCCCTCATCGTGTCTGTCCGCGGTAGGACGGTCAAGCCTGTGTCGTGCAGTAGGGTGCGTGATGCCACACTACTTCTGTTAGCTTACAAACCAGGCATATCAGGCTCATGGTGCGGTTCCTTGCAGCCGAGCAGACTTCCATCTGGTCTTCGGGTCACGATATCAGTACCCGCCTGCGGCGCGCGGTGTTGCGCGTTTGCTCGTTTCCGGAGAAGCGTATGTCAGCTCGAATCGGGCAACTGTCCATATGGATCGCATTTGGCCCCGCCGAGTTCGCGTGTGCACGATATCACACCTGCGAATCCGCCGTCAGCTCTTCTCGTTTTGGTGTTATCATTGGTCCATTCGGGTTCTCTCGCATATTCCGCGAGCCTCCGGACGGACGCCGGTACACTCTTGCAGGCAGAGTACAAAAGGCCAATGGCTGCGTTCCTCGAAACTAGTCGAGCCTCCCGCCAGAAGTGGCCTCCTCCAGCAGTCTCGTCGTCGCCGACATTCCCACATATTCCTCTCGGATATCATGGCTCTGTCGGTCACCTTGAAGCGTGTACTCTTCCTCGCCGTGGCCACGCTTGTCGCTGTCGTCGCTGTCGACGCGACGCAGGTCATGCAGCGCCCGGCGACCTATAAGAACACGCCCCACAAGGTCCAGACGAACGCTACCGCGGAACCGAAGGTCGTTCATAAGCGTGCGAACACACATGTCCAGGCTGCTTACTTCACTAACTGGTGAGTGGTGGTGGGCGAACATTCGTCTAGTGTATTATGCTGATAGCTTTATTGTTAAAGGGGCATCTATGGCGCCAACTTCCGTGCGTTATCATCTTCTAGTCATTCATTCGACGCGCCCTGACTGGAGATTATGTGCGATAGAACCAACGGATATTGTTCCCGCGCCGTTGACGCACATTCTCTACGCCTTCGCCGATGTTTCCTCGGATACTGGTGCAATCTCTCTCACCGACTCCTATGCCGATGAGCAGGTGCGTGACTCACCATATGTCGATCATCACATCGTGATTGACGTCCGGCGCGCAGAAACACTTCCCTGGAGATTCCTGGGATGAGACCGGTAACAACCTCTACGGCTGCCTAAAGCAGGTAAGTGCATCTCTTGTCACACGCTGCGTCGTCTCGGACCAAGAGCGCTGACACGCGTGCTTTGTGGCGCAGCTCTACCTCCTCAAGCTCGCCCAAAGGTTGGTGGCTGTCTTTTTATATCGCGTTCTCACGCTGTATCACATGCTCCCGCTGATCCAACTCCATTCTACCCGTACAGGAACCTCAAGGTTCTCCTCTCTATCGGAGGCTGGACGTACTCCCAGTCAGGCCATTTCAATTTCGTAACCGATTCCTCGAAGCGTGCCACATTTGTCTCGGACGCAGTTCAATTGATTGAAGATTACGGCTTCGACGGTATCGATATCGACTTCGAGTACCCCAACTCGGATGCGCTCGCTTCGGGCTTCACTTCTTTGCTTTCGGAGCTCCGCACGGCATTCAACAACCTTCAGACCCAGAAGGGGGATGCGACTCCCTACGAGCTCACTGTGCGTGCTTCTCTGACCGTCTGGCTGGGTGCAGTACTAATCAGGTAACATCGCTGCAGGCTGCCGTCGCTGCCGGCTCCGACAACTATGCATTCTACCAAGTCAAGCAAATGGACGCTTCGCTCACTTTCTGGAACTTGATGGTTGGATTCAACTCGAATATGTTCAATGGACTGCGAAGTAACTGACATCTTTCAGGCTTACGACTACGCCGGCTCCTGGTTGACTTTCGCTGACAATCAGGCTAATGTGTACGGTGGCACTCGCACCAACGTCTCCACTGACAAGGCCGTCACGTTCTACCTCGCCAACGGCGCGACCGCTGGCAAGATCAACGTCGGCATCCCGCTCTACGGTCGCGCTTTTGAGAACACCACCGGCCTCGGGGCCCCCTACAATGGCGTAAGTGTCCCTAACCCAGAACATGCAGTTCAGCAAGGCTGAGCAACGATTCTCCATCAGGTCGGCCCCGGCACTATTCAGGCTGGCATCTACTCGTACAACGTTCTTCCGCTGTCGGGTGCTACTGTCTTCGAGAACACGACCGATATCACTAGCTACTCGTATGACGCGTCGAAGGGCGAGCTCGTCTCGTATGACACGCCCCACATCGCTACCCTCAAGGCTCAGTACGTCCAGTCTAAGGGTCTCGCCGGCTCCATGTTCTGGGACGTGAGTAGCGCGCATCTCACAATGCTATTGACCCAACGGGGGCTGATGAATCTTGCACAGCTCTCCACCGACAAGACGGGCTCAGATTCGCTCGTCGGAACGACGGCAGGCGTGTACGGCAGCCTCGACCAGACCCAGAACCACATCGACTACCCGAACAGCAAGTGGGACAACATCCGCAACAACATGGGCCAGGGCGGCTCCGGCTCCTCCTCGAGCACCAGCGCCCCTTCGTCTCCCACTAGCACCCCGGTTACCCCGACTAGCACCTCCACCAGTGCTAGCACCTCTCCTACGAGCGGTTCCGGTCTCTGCGCAGGCGTTTCCGCATGGAGTTCCTCTGTAAGCGAGACTGCTTCTTGCTCTCTTGAAGTTATTCAGGTGCTCACATCACAATTTAGGCTGTCTACACTGGCGGGCAGTCGGCAACGTACAGTACGTTATTGAGGACATTGCAGGTATCCGGCAGTACTAATTGAGCATGCGTATAGACGGTGACCTCTGGACTGCCTCGTGGTGGACCGAGGGCGATACTCCTGGCGGTGCTGGTATGCTTTCCTGACCACGCTTGGAGCTGGGTCATCCTTTGCTAACATTGGCCTCCGCATGTAGCTGGTGTCTGGGTCGACAAGGGCAAGTGCTAAGCACGCCCCAATACTGTATTTTTATTCATCTCTTGGGACGTCGCGGTTTCTTGGCATCATAGGTGGACCTCATCCAATCATCACGCAGGCATATGTATATAATGCTCACGATATCAAATCAAGTACCCCATGGATTGTATCATCACCTTTCTCCGTTCGACAGCACAAGACTAGTGCGAGAGCTACATATAGACGCGGCATTGTTCATTGACGCTGGGAAAATTGAACGTACGTGAATCCGACAGAGCATATGGAGATGCCGCCATTACTCGGAGATGTCGGTCGTCAAAGAATGGCGAAGTTACTGCCGTGTCTCTCACTGATATTTGACAACTGAAGAGCGAAGGTGCGAACGGTACAAGTATGGTAGCCAGAAGAACGAGTCTACAGGTATAGTGATGAACAGAAGATGACTGAGTTCGGTCGCTCGAGCATCTCTGATGCCTTCTCGAACTTCTCTTGCAGCTCCTGATTTCCGATTACCTTGGCTGCCTGCGCCATCTGCCGGATCAGCTCCTGCAGGCGCCGGAATACACGGATGAGGCTGCCCTCAAACTGGTCGGTAAGCTATAGACCACCATGAATTCATCAGTAAAGAGAACGAACGCAAGATGTCCATCCAGGATGCGCACCTTGCAGATATCTGAGAAGGACGCGCCCCTACACCACTGCACGACGGCGTCCATGAGCTCGACTTTGAATGACTTCACGTATTCGTCCTCGTTAATGGGAAGCTTCGACTCTTTGGACACCTTTGCTATTCGCCGCGCAATCTCCTGCATGACGCGCAGCGGGGCCGCGAGCTCTTCCTTCAGCTTCGTGACTTGCTCGCTCTATTGGACAAATGTGGATGTCAGTGTCGTCCTATCCCCCTTGTCCAGACTGCGAAGTTAGTATATATATGTCGGCATTCCTTACCTTCTCGGTGAAGACGAAGCAGCTGAGAAGACCCGCGCACTGCTCGGGTGAAAGGGGGTTGAAGACGCCATTGAAGATGAGCTCGGTGAGAAGCAACTCATCCCCAGTACTGATCTCGCACGCGACACGGCCCTTCATGTCAACAATATCCGAGGCGTTCGTGAACCCTAATCGACGCAATACCCGTTTGCGACACTTCAACTCCTCCATCTGGAGGACGTCGTGAGTCGCCTGCACGCGCTTTTTGAGCTCGCGTATGCGTGTTTGATGCTCCTGTTTCCGCGCATAGAGGGTGTACAGCTCCGGCAGCCGAGGGTCCTTGTGAAGTGGGCTCGAGAACATCTTGCGCTCCAAGGTGTCGATTTTCTAGGCAGGATGGTGACGTCAGGACACAAAAGTCATCACAAACGATAGCACAAATAACAGAGTACCTGAACAAGCTCCTTGAATTTCTCGTCCGTTATCTTCATGTCGGCAACAGGGTCTAGCAGAGGAATCCCATCAGGGAACCGACTCTGCACCTCCAGCACACTTTTCCATGTGTTATTCCGCTGCTCTACCGGCCGCAAATCTTTTGGCAGGAAAAGACGAAGGCGGCTGATCGAGTCAACGGTGGAGAGCAGAACAGGCACGACGAGTGGCTCTCCGCCCTTGCCCGACAAACATGGCTGGACGCCGCCGGGAGTCGGTGTGGTCGTGTTCCGGTCCTTAGGTACGGTGGACCCTTTCGAGCAGTACAACAGCACGTCGATGATGTACTGCTCATGTGCAGGGATGTCTTCCAGCTTCGGTCCAGGACGCCCCTGAGAGTGCTTCACGTCAGCAAAATGCGTCGAGAAGCTAAGAAGCTGCTGTGCGTACCTTGGGCGGTAGCCGCTTTTGATAGTTCACGATAACACCCCAGCCAAAGTCGAGCTTCTGATACTTCACCTTGATGAGACGGCCAGGCTGGAGGTACGGAAGGCTGTAGTTGGGATGCGTGATGACCTCCCGGAAATCCGACGCCATCTGGTCCAGCTGCTGGCGGAGGTCATAGTAGCTCGCGACGAGCTCTTCGTCAGGAATTGTCATCGCAGCCTTCTTCTCCTCCTCCTTCTCGAGCTCTGTTCATAGGCAGACGTATGTAAGTCAAACCACATCATTCCCAGATGGGTCTAGCCAACAGGCACGCACCAGCTTCGATGACAGGCACCTCTGCCTGGTGCTGGAACTGGTAAAAACACCGCTCAAGCATGAACTCGGGACTAATGCCCTCAACCTTCATCAGGTTCAGCACCATGTTGTACCCGAGGTGGAACGCCGAGTCGAGCCTGTCCGCCTCGCCCTTGATCATCCCCTTCGCTGCCGTCGGCTCGAGCTTCTCGTCGCACATCATGATGACGACTCCGCGGTCGTCGAGCCCACGCCGCCCCGCGCGCCCAGACATTTGGATGTACTCGCCCGAGGAGAGATTCCGGAAATCGTGCCCATCGAATTTGCGTGCGGCGGTGAACACGACGGTCTTGGCGGGCATGTTCAAGCCGATGGAGAAAGTCTCGGTCGCAAATAGGACTTTGATGAAGCCCTCCTGGAACAGGATCTCAATAACCTCTTTGAGGATTGGGAGGAGCCCGCCGTGGTGGATGCCGATGCCGCGCTTGAGGAGGGGGAGGAGGTTCGAAATCTGGGGGAGCTGGCGGTCGTCGGGCGAGAGGTTCTCCATCGCGTTGTTGAAGATATTTGTTATCAGATCCTGCTCCTCGGTGGTGTTGAACTCCAATTTGGACATGGTCAGCGCGAGCGCCTCGCACTCGCGCTTGCTGAATGCGAAGACGATGACGGGGTTGTAGTTCTTGAGCATGATCATCTTCACAATTTTCTGGATGTCCGAAGGGCCTACGGCGGCCGGTTAGCAGACAAACGACCGTAGAGCAGCTGACACTTACCCTTCTTCTCGCCGCCCTTTTTTGTCTTGCCCTTTTTGCCCTTGCCCGATTTTGGGTCTGCGGGGTCTTCACCTGACCTTTCCTGCAACATGCCCATCGCCTTCGTGAAATTGTCCTCCCGGAACTCTCCCTTCTCGTTGACAACAAGGTAGATACCCTCGCCACCTGCGGGAAACAGATAGTGCTGCAGTGGGGTTGGTCGGAAGTCGGTGTATACAACGTGACAGGGCTGCTCGTGTGATTTGCATATCCACTCTGCGAATTGCATTGCGTTTGGAATGGTGGCTGATAGGAAGACGTAGCGAACGGTATGAGGGAGAAGGATGATGGTTTCTTCCCAAACGACGCCACGCTCCTTGTCGCGCATATAGTGAATCTCGTCGAAGATGACCCAGGCTACCTCACGCATGATTTCAGAGCCGCGATACAACATCGAACGCAGAATCTGAAATGGTACCCGTCAAAAAGTCGCGCATATAGCCGGTGGACGTGCACGCACTTCGGTTGTCATCACCAGACATGTCGCGCTCGGGTTGATAGTCACGTCTCCGGTCATGAGGCCAACATCTCCGAACTCTGCGAGCATTTCTCGGTACTTCTGGTTACTCAGGGCCTGTATGGAGCAAAACGATGATTCATTGAGGTCTCGTACAGGACTATAGTTACTAGCCTTGATTGGACTCGTGTAGATTACACGCTGCTTCTGCTGTAGACACTGAGCGATTGCATACTCCGCCACCACGGTTTTGCCGGCACTCGTGTGCGCGGACACGAGCACACTCTCATTCCGCTGAATGGCATGCACAGACACTTGCTGGAAGGGGTCCAAAGTGAACTTGTATTCGCGCGCTGGTTTCTCGGGCGGCACATGTTGTGATATCGGTATGTACGGGTAGCCTGGCGGCACCGCGACTTGATGCCGCACCTACGAAGAACACATTTGAGAATGGGGGAAGGAGGTCTTCTGCATTCTTCTTGCGCATATACTCACCTGATGCCGAAGCTCCAGCCGAGAACCCGCCTCTACCGCGCCCGTCAAGCCCGCGCTCGCCGCGACCTCGCGTTTTGCCTCAATTTTCACCTCGTCAACGACTACCGGTTTGGGGGAAGCCAGACGCGGCTTCTTAGGTTCTGAAGGACCAGCTTCCTGACTGGACGACGCGGTTCGGTCACCATTGGTTTCTAAAGCTGGAGGTGTTGATGCCTTGCGCTTCTGGGGCACCGACCCGTTGGGATGTTTGGCCTCTTCTTGCATTGGAACATCGCCATCGGGATGAGACGATTCGGCTTTGTGGGGAACTTCGTCCAGAAAAGAGAACAAGTCGTTGGATTCCATGGTGGTCTACACAAATAGCACAGGTAGGCCAGATACAAAGCTGGAAGCAAGAAGAAGGGCGTCCTGCGTGAGGACCGACTTGAACGAGGGAGGAAAGGGAAGATGTGCACCTAGACTCGGAGGACGCGCTCAACTATCCCGCCGGCACGGAAACTTTCCCGCAGGCGCCCATGGGCTCACCCCGCACTAGCCAAAAGCGCCTAAGCACAGTCTGTCTGCAGTTCTACCGTATCGACTCCTGTATCGACTCTCTATCCACCGCAATGCCCACCCCCAATGTCAACGCTCGTAGTGTTTCCACATCCAGCTCCTATGATTGATGATTGCCCTAGTCGAGCACCATACAACATTGACTCTCAGATCAGTACAAAGGCGTTCGACTTCCGAGTCCTGCACCGGCCATCGCGAAGCGGGAACCACATATGACTTACCCGCAATCATACTATGAAACCCGCCATAAACTGACAGTTACTCACTCTTGTCAAGCCCTCCAAGCTGGTGAGCTTGTGCCGAACATCCTGTACAAACGAGAATCGTTCGACTGGGCTTATTTCCACTGGTGAAAGCGGTGATAGTGAAGTCACCCAGGGTGCGCATTGTCTCTTCTCTGCTACGGACGTATGCTTGGGCTAGGGTAGGCCCAGCATACGTATCAAGAGCCGTTCATCACGAGGAGCAGCATCAAGACTACCCACGCAAGAATTGAACAGCGCGCTGCATATCGGATTCTTACTGGCGCAGCATATTCTGAAGGTGCGTCCGTGGCAAAGGAGTGTGGTGTGCACATGCTACCATGGCCATATGAGGCGAAGAGTATTTTTGAGGGCCGGACACTTTCCTAGTCCGGTGACCATTCACGATCCGCATTCGCGGGTCTCCTGGTGATCCCTCCCTCGCAACAGCATCCCGTGCACTTCCGTGCAGCTCTCATCGGTCTGCCCTGATTCTGATCTGCCCTGATGTCTTCATTCAGCGCGACCATTCGGAGAACTCTCGATGACACCGGGACCGGCGTTGGCGCTCTCGCTCAGTGCAACGCGCCATATGACGCACCACGCATGCTTCCTGTCCTGATGTAACCGTATGCGAAACAACTCGATCCCGATTTTCCATTTCTTACTCGACGTACAAAGATCTGGACAGTGGTTTTCCCAAAATAGTGTGGTATGAGACAGCTATATTAGCTATGACCTTTTGCGACGTCCCTGCAACAACTTCCCTGCCGTCCCGCCTCCTGGTCTTTCTCTTCATCGACTCAGGCGGTTGACATGGCGAACTGGCTCAAGCTCTCCGTATTCGCTACCCTCGGTGCACTATTCACTACTACCGAGGGGCGACCTTTCCTCTCCAGTGCGAGTACCGGAAACTCCTTAGCTAGTCGCGCGCCGTCCAGCAACAAGACCGTCATCGTCCAAATGTTTGAGTGGACATGGGACAGTGTTGCTTCCGAGTGCACCAACTTCATCGGTCCTGCCGGCTACGGTTTCGTGCAAGGTGTGTCCCCCAGCGCCTTTGCATCTGTTCGTGCCATTCACCCTATGATCTCTGTTCTAGTGAGCCCGCCGCAGGAGCACGTCACGGGCGACCAGTGGTGGACAGACTACCAGCCTGTCTCTTACATCCTGACGTCCAAACGCGGCAACCGAGACCAGTTCGCCAGCATGATTTCGACCTGTCATGCCGCGGGCGTTGGTGTGATCGTCGGTGAGCACCCTCGTAGTTTTGTAGATTCGGCCCCCGCGCCACTGCTCACGCCTACCATGCCGACTTGCAGACACCCTCTGGAACCATATGACCGGCAGCGACAGCGGCACCGGCGTCGCCGGCTCTTCGTACACCCACTACAACTACCCGGGGATCTACCAAAACCAGGACTTCCACCACTGCGGGCTTGAACCCGGCGACGACATCGTCAACTACGACAACCGCCTCGAGGTGCAGACGTGCGAGCTTGATAACCTCGCCGAGTAAGTAAGCGTGCGCCGCATGGTCGCGCTCCACATTATTGATTATCGGTGACAAACCTTGCTCACATTTGTGCGCACCGGGCGCTCATGCACGCAGTCTCGCGACGAACACCACGTATGTGCAAGGCCGACTCGCGGAATACGGCAACGATCTGCTATCGCTGGGCGCGGATGGTTTTCGCCTCGACGCGGCCAAACGTGAGTTGACGTCTCGCAAGCCAACATGTCTCTCCGGAGCTAGCTGACAGAGCGCACCTTGCCATAGACATCGCTGCTACGGATCTCGCACAAATCCTGTCGCAATTAAACAGCAAGCCGTACATCACGCAGGAGGTCATCTTCGGAGAGGGCGAGCCCATCACGCCCAACGAGTATGTCGGAAACGGTACGTCATCGGTGTTGAGCTGATATGGTTGTTGAGATGCTGATTTGATCGGTTGCGCTAGGGGATGTCCAAGAGTGAGCAGTGGCGCCCGAGGTGTCTTCGTGCCTGGTTGATTCTCACGGAACCGTCGCGGTGGTTTATTGTAGGTTCCGTTACACCACGGCGCTGAAGAATGCATTCTTGGGCGGAGGCATCTCTAGCCTGGAGAGCTTTGACAATCTAGGTATGGAGGATCGATCCATTGGTATCATGAGGTTGCAACGCTAAACTACAGCACAGGCTGGGTGGATGGCTCCGTGGCGAATGTCTTCGTGACCAACCACGATACGGAGCGGGTAAGCATCCGGGCAACCATTCTGCTGTTTAGCGCTGACCTTTCGTGTACAGAATGGCAACTCCCTCAACAACAACTCGCCGTCCAATACCTACGTCACTGCAACGATCTTCTCCCTCGCACACCCGTACGGCACGCCGACCATCCTGTCGAGCTACGACGGTTTCACGAACACCGACGCCGGTGCACCTAATGGCGGCACGGGGACATGCTCTGGGACTGGTGGCGAGAACGGCTGGCTCTGCCAGCACCGCTGGGTCGCCTTCACGGGCATGGTCGGCTTCAGGAACAACGTCGGCGACGCGGAGGTGACGAACTGGGTGTCGCCGCAGTCGGAGCAGATTGCGTTCGGACGTGGTATGGTGGCTCCCGTAGAGCCTGTGACAGCTCAGTTATCTGATGTGTCCTGCAGGCGCCCTCGGCTTCGTCGCGATCAACAACGCCGACTCGGACTGGTCGGCGACGTTCTCGACATCTCTTCCGAGTGGTTCCTACTGCGACGTCATCAGCGGCTCGTCTTCAGGCAGTACCTGCACAGGTAGCTCGTAAGTCAACGCGATTTGTTGACTGATCGCCTGGCCGCTGACGACTCGATGTGCCTATCTAGCTTCACCGTCTCAGGTGGCTCGTTCACCGCCACCGTCCCCGCCCGCAGCGCAATCGCCATCCACACAGGACAGAAGGGTACCGGCTCCAGCTCTGGCAGCGGCGGTTCCGGTAACGTCGTCGTGAACTTCGCCGAGAACGCCACTACGACGTTCGGTGAAGTGCGTGAATACCTCGTAATCTCCCTAATATTGCTGACTCAGCGTACAGAACATCTTTGTTGTCGGCAGCATCTCGCAGCTCGGGAATTGGGATCCGGCCAGCGCGGTGAGTCACAATCTACTGCATGTGCAACACGCGCTTCTCTTCGGCGGTGCTGACATGGACCACAATGGCCCACCTCTGCAGATCGCGTTGTCGTCGGCTTCGTACCCCGTGTGGACGGCTTCCGTGAGCATCCCGGCAGGAACCTCCTTTGAATTCAAGTTCATCAGGAAAGAGACTGACGGAAGCGTACGTGACACACGTCCCTGCCCTAAGCCTACGCGTTCACAAATACTGACTTCGGAGCGTCGCCCAGATCGTTTGGGAGTCTGACCCTAACCGTTCAGACACGGCTCCCTCGTCCGGTTCGCAGACACTCACCACGTCGTGGAGATGATGTTCTATACCCACATTCATCCGCCGGCTTCGTCTATGCTGGCTGAGGTGCTTGCGAACATCTCCGGATTGTTGAGGTTTGAGCGTGTTGTGCATGATATCTATCACCGTGTTGTTGTCCCAGTAGTTCGTCGTGAGCCGCCTCCGAATGAGCCCCGAATCCAGCATCGATGTGGCACTGCAATATATTTGTATATTCTACATCCCATGGTCCAGGACCGCGTCCGAGATGAACGTTCGAACCGCGTTCACCACAAGGCGCGGTACGTACATCGTCGCAAAGCTGCAGCAACCGCAGAAAGCACATGCCCGACGTATCTCACGCATCACATCTGCAAGAACGAGTCCAGTTGGCGGTGTCCGAGAGATGGTGGAGGCTCCAGGATGGGGCTGGAACGGCTGCTACCCTTATTCGCCGGGCCATCGGGAGCTGACCGCAGAACCCGCGGGACTGATTCTGGAACATGGGTCGCCCGTAGAGCAGGATCTCGCCGGTACTCTGGCCAGTCTTCGACTACGGCCGCAGCGGTCGGGCGCCGACGGAAGAACGATGCGATCTTGTATGACTTGGGAGTCTTGGATGGAAGGTGGTTTTCCGGCAGTCTTTCCACGGAGGTCGGCAAGTCTTTCCCGGAGGGAGACCTATAGTCTTCCCAGTAGCTTTGTGGCGAGTGCAAACCGCCGTCGAAACCGCCTTGTGGCGTAGGTGTCTGCGGGGCCGCAGTGCCCGATGCGCCCCAAGACGGGAGTGACCGTAATCCAAGCGTCTTCGACAGCTTGGGGTGATAGACAAGGTTGTCTATAGCCGGCTGGTTGGGACTGGGTGCGTACGCGGATGGGGCCCTGTAGTCAGATGGAAGGGTCTCTCTCAGAACTTCCTTGGACCGAACGGCAGGAGCCGATTTGCGCTCGCCGGGCCTGATCAGAGTACTCGATGTTGAAGTGACAGGCGGCAAGGTGAGGTGCTTACGCTCGGAGGCCGGCGTAGTTGATACATCCGGCGTGAGTGGACTCACGACCCAGTCGACCACCACCGTCCGCAGCGTCGGAATAGGTAGGTGCCGCACCGCAGTTGCTAGTTCTTCCAGTTCTCGCATAGCTCCCAGCATGTCACAAGGAAGTCCATCCTTCGGTAGCGAAGTGCCAGAGCCGACGGACTCAGTTAGAGACTTCGAGAAACTAGAAGAGCTCTGAGGAGACGCCAAGGGAGAATAAGACCCAGAATGAGGCAGAGCACTGTCCATAAGCGACTGATACCAGCCGGGAGACGCGTCCTCCAGAGCATTGATGAAGGTCGAAAGAGAGTTGCTGGGAGAGCAAGCCTGTGGGAGCTCCAGCGCAAGCTTGTGGACGGTGATACCCCGATTCGCCGACATCCGGGAGCGCCTCGCAGTCTTGGCGGGTTGGGCTTCTTCAGCCCTGGTAGTCTGTTGTGCAGGCGTAGTGATGTGCGTGGGCAAGGAAGTATGTGCCGAGAAAGGTTTGAGGTCGGCATAGTGCTTAGTTGGAGAGTCCATGATAGAGTCAGAGGAGTGCCTAAGATGTGGAGGAACCCCGATGCGGAGCCCCAGGTATGAGGGAGTGTCATGGCTTAGAGAGTGGTCGAGTGTTAATGAGTGTGGTCCAGAAGCGAGCGTGGGTGATGTATTGAATAACGAGAAAGAGTCGTCCGGAGACTTGTTCAGTGGCGTGAGCAGTAGGCGGGAAGCCGGTGGGAGAGACGGGGAGTCGTCAGCCGTCGGGGTGCTTGGTCCTCGGGAGGAGAACTCAGAGTCTCCGTCCTCCGACCGATCGGGCGACGAGTCCCTATCGCCGGACAACTCATGATAAGAATGGAACTGACCACTGATGCCAACTGGAGAAGCAGATCCCAAGGACTGGCATTCAAAGCTGAACCGTTCGATCTGGGGCGGAGACAGGTTGCCCTTCGGAAACAGCAGCGTCTCGACTAGAGGGTGAGACAGCACGGAGAGCTGCTCCTTGGAGGTCTGCATCCGGCCAAGACGAGATGAAGGAGGCTTGCAAGGGGCCAAATCCTGGTTGACTTGCGGGTTGACTGGACTAGATCTCTCATCCGGGGTTCCGGAGGCTAACTTCCGTAGACAGATTCAAGGCAGCTCAAACACAGAGAGATATGTTGCCCAGAATCTTTGTGTAGTTCAGACAGAGAGACGGGGCCAGCGAGCCTAGGATGGTCGACCAACGATCATGGGAGGGCAGGGTGAACGTTGACGTGCTCAAGCCGCCTAAGCCTGAGGCGATGAGGAGAAGCGCCCGATAGCCACGTGTCATGTCGTGGTCGGGGTATCCCCCTCCTCACCTCTCGCCTCACAACTCGCCCCTCCGCTCCCCACTACATAGGTTGTTACAGATGAGCGCCTTGCATCAGGGACCTTCGACGGAGTCTTGAAGTCCTTGGCTGTGACGGTTGCCAGTGCAATCTGTCAGAAATTTCGCTTCGCTGTTGTTGGCGAGAAGTACTGAGAACAGAATTCCTCAAGCTCGTAGAATAACGACTGTGTAGCTATGAGGACACAACCTAACCACGTTCTGGCCACGTCCTTCTTGTATTCTGCTCTTATGCCCTATCGACCTCTGACCGCGCCCTTGTGTTGCCCTGCCCTATCAGGCTTCAGCCTCTGAACATGTTTTTCTGTATCCCTTCTGCCCTTCTCTGCTTCCGTCGTCTATCATCTTGTCCCGCTCCGCCTTGATTATCATGTGTACATCTATCAAAGTGATATCTTCAAGCTCAGTGGTTTGATCCTTCATCCCAATATGGTATATGTAGTTCATTCATCGGAGGGCACTCCAAATTGGATCGCACCGAAGCTGCTCATCAGGTCGATGAACACCGAAATTACAGCCCTGGCGCGGGAAAATGTCAACATGTCAACCCTCGCAGACTCCCCACGTCTTCCCTGTCATGCGTCCAATGCCAGCTCCAACTTCAAATCAGTAATGGGCGTGGTGAACCGAGAACGACGCATCCATGGACAGTCCCATAGTCCCACAACCAACTCCGGTCCTCCTCAGGTAAGTTCTACTCTCCTACAATCTAATGATTCAAGTGATTCTTCCAGCTTCGTAGTTGGACGACTGACCACAGCTTGACATATGAAGTAGGTCAACAAATTCACAGACGTTCTAGGCTTGAGACAAAGGTTCGATGGAGAGACGAGCTTCGGAGGAACCGCTCACGCCGGGGACCACTCACAGACCGGAGTCTTGGCGCAGCATCTGTACAGGTCTTGCCAGGAAGCTATATGAGCGTCGCCTTTGGCTTCTGACGCAGACCAGTACACTCAATACTCTCACTACAGCCCTCTGAATCGTTCTCAACCGTCACCATGAAGTTCACTCTCACCGCCACCTTCATCTCCACCGTCCTCCTCAGTGTCACCGCTCTTGCTGAGCCTGAGGCGGCCCGTCTCCACCTTAAGGTACGTGCAGCAGTACACCCCATTCAGTCCTATCAGACTGATGCACACGAACTA